ACCTTCCTAACATCAAGGTTTTTTCCAAGGACTCTTTTCTTCTCATGAGATGGCCAAAGTATTGGAGCCTCAGGTTCAGGATCTGTCCTTCCAGTGAGCACTCAGGGTTTATTTCCTTCAGAATGGATAGGTTTGTTCTCTTTGCAGTCCAGGGGACTCTCAAGAGCCTCCTCCAACACCACAATTCAATGGCATAAGTTCTTCGGCAGTCAGCCTTCTTTATGGTCCAGCTGTCACTTCCATACATCGCCACAGGAAAAACCATAGGCTTGATGATGTAGACTTTTGTCAGCAAGGTGATGTCTCTGCTTTTGAAGATGCTGTCTAGGTTTGTCATCGCTTTCCTCCCAAGAAGCTGGCATCTTTTAATTTCATGGCTGCTGTCACCATCTGCAGTGATCATGGAGCCCAAGAAAGTAAAATCTGTCACTGCCTCCATATCTCCCTCTTCTGTTTGCCAGGAGATGATGGGACCAGTGGCCATCATCTTAGATTTTTTTTTATGTTGAGCTTCAGATCGTTTTTTGTGCTCTCCTCTTTCACCCTCATCAAGAGGTTCTTTAATGCCTCCTCACTTTCTGCCATCAGAGTGGTATCATCTGCATATCGGAGGTTGTTGATCTTTCTTCTGGCAATCTTAATTCCAGTTTGGGATTCCTCCAGTCCGGTCTTTCACATGATGTGTAGTGTAGAATCTTGAACATCACCTTGCTTGCATGGGAGCTTAATGCAGTGGCCCTATAGTTTACTGCACTATTTGGAGCCCCTATTGTTTGGGATTTGATTATATACAAAATGTTTTTAATCTGTGGGGACATTTGTTAGCTTTCCATATTAGTTGTTAAGATTACTTGGGCTCCCATTATAAAAAAGATGTGACACAAAAGAAAGTTGAAGGGATTCAGGGGTGGGGAAGAAAGCAAAGAATCCCAGCAGCCGTTCTTAAATGTTAGGTGTTCTTTTAGTAGGGATTGGAAATTGATCTGGACATGAGTGTATCTTATATCGAGTTGAACTTTCCTCCAATGAGTTCATGATTGTTCTTGTTCTGCCCCTTCGATGAAGAGACCACTTTGATGAGAGTAAAAAGAATGTTGTGAAGGCTATTGTGAAGTAGATCAGGCTGAGGCCAGATTTCCTGTGCTACCTCAGCTACCATACCACACAACACTTGAATGGTTACTGTAGGACAGTTGAGGAATTGCCAAACCCAATGAAGCTTATTTCTCAGAAAGTGTTGTGGCATGTAGTGGTAGACAAATTTTGAAAGTTGTAGAGCTACCCAGCCCTGTCACCAGAATTTGGCATTGGTAGCCCTCTGTAAATCACCTACTTCCATTATAAAACAAAGTACATATGGAGGGCACACTTTGTTTTGAAATCAGTTAGAACTTCCAGGAGATGTGGGGGGGGGTGCTTCAGAGCAAGACACACATTCCTACACACCTTATAGTAAAGTGGAAATGATAGATTTACTGTGTGGGTGGGAGGTGCTACTGTGGTACCATATATATGAGATCACATCACTTTATTGGCATTTTCTTTATTTATATCAAAGCATTGCACAATTTAATCAAATTTACAGTGCAGCGCTCCTGAAATGAAGGATTGACTGGCTGCACACAATTGGCTAAGGGACACCCGAGTGTTCTTGCAATGCTTTTCCACTCTTTGGGAAGGCTCCTTCTTTGTCCCCCAGTATGGTGGGAAATTCCACTGCTGTTGAAAGTGGGGAGGTGGGCAGAAAAGTGGTGTGTTGCCCACTCTGGCTTTAATTGATGGCCCTTGTGTCTTTTTTCCTATCCAGTTACTGTGCATACATTTTGATGCAGCAAAATCAAGTAAAAAAATTAGGAAATTCCAAACTATTATCATTTTAAGGTGTGTTATTGATTCCAAAATCTGCTGTTCAAGTTTAAGAGCTGCTGCCGAGTCTGCTTTATCCCTTTCGCCTTCCTGTATTTTTTCTCTTTGTGGTGTTCTTTAGATTGTAAGCCTGTAATAAGGAACTGTCTTGTTTTCACTGACTGCATATTAAATGCTCTATAGAAGCAGTGCTCCATATATGTAAGTTGGTTGGTAAGTGTTTTTTTAAACTATTTTACCAAAACAAAAATAAAGATGAGTGTATCAGGAAAAACTCTGTGCCCTTCCTTCTGACCAGTTTTCCACTTGCATTCAGTCAGGAGGCATTGAAAGTGTAATCCATCATCTGGAAGCTAGCGATTTCCCAGCATTCTGGCCAGATACTGGAATACAATGGCAGAATCTTCTCAGAATATATGTGTAAAGTAATCCTTCTTGTTTGTTTGCCAGATATATGGTGGTATTTTTTTGTTGTTCTATTAGATCCTTGTTGTTGGCTGCGGCAACTCAGAACTGAGTGAGCAACTCTATGATGAGGGTTATCGAGATATCATCAGTGTGGACATTAGTGAAGTGGTTGTCAAACAAATGCAGGAACGCAGTGCTCACCTGAGACCCAAGATGACTTACATGGTCATGGATGTGCTGCAGATGGATTTCCCTGATGGGAGCTTCCAGGTGGTGCTGGACAAAGGCACTCTTGATGCCCTTACGACTGATGATGAAGAGACCACTTTGATGAGAGTAAAAAGAATGTTTGCTGAAATTGGCCGTGTCCTGCAATTTGGGGGCCGTTATTTGTGTGTTTCCTTGGCCCAAGGACATGTATTAAAGGTGGCTCTGGAATATTTCTCTCGGGAAGGCTGGATGGTTCGAATACACCAAGTCTTTGAAGCAGGTGCTGCAGAGGGAAAATTTGCTCTGCCTATCTTTATCTATATTATGACAAAGATCAAGCAGGTCCCAGGTTCGGCTTTATGCATCTTGGAATTTTGTGCTGAAGTACAGGACAAACCTACCCGTTTCAAGAGCACTGAGCATCTGATTGAGGCAGTGAAAGAGAGGCAACAGTACTCTCTCTTACGGAGCCAGCTCAACAAGAAACCCAACGCAGAGAGTATTTCTCTGGATCTCTGTAACAAAGATACCAGCCAAGCTCGTTATACTTTGCATGTGGTACACAATCCTACTGCGAAAGTGGCTCACAATAATCAGTTTGCCATCTTTATCGGTGAGTTTATTCTGTTATTGGTTGGCTGGGTTTTGGGAGTTCACATTAATCCAGACATCCAAAAGAGCTTCCCATAGAGGCTTTCCCTTAGATCATACAGTAGAGACTTAGAATTGGAGACTTGTTTGATTAAGGATTGCTTCAATATTATCAAACATACTAAAAAGTAACATAGCAGAGATATGAGACTATCTGATGGAAACATTCTTTCTGCATTAGGTGAATTTGCAAATACTGGCTAGTAAATTGTGTGTCTGTTTTGCTTGTGTTCACTGTCCATGCTGTGCAAAAGAATGCAGCAATAATTTTAAATATGCTTTCATACCAGATGGAAAAAAGAGGGAGTTGAAAATACAAGAGAATTGGTTTGTTGTTATTTTGCTTACAGATATCAATTATCCTGTTTTATCTTTCCAAATCTCTGGATAAAATTGTCAAAATATTCATTTTTACCACTTGATTATTTTAGATTGGGGTCGGTGACTTTCAGAAGTCCAGGAGCACATGTTGGCACTCCTGAACCTTAGAGGTCTAGGCTCACTCCAGTGTCCTATTCTGAAAAATATTTCCTATTATTTATTTTACTGCAAAGGCCACTGGAATGATAAAAATACATTTTTTAAAAAAATTGCATATGGTAGGGCCAAGGGTGTTGGTAGGGCTAACTCATAGCAAAATTCTTCTATAGGGTATAAAGAGAAGAATTTCAGAGTGTTCTCTGTCTCTCTCTTTCTCTCCCCCCCCCCCAATTTGTGTGTTGGAGCACAGGTCTAACAATTAGATTTGGCCCTTACATTTGATATCTCAGATTGGAAATAGAATGCTGATCTCTCTAGTGGAATCCAGGTAGTACATTAGAGCTGTTCAATTTTATTCAGACATAAGGGCTACAGTTTCTGCCTTTTATGTATTTGTGATTTTTTTTCTCCCTCCAGTACCACAGGGCAGAGAAACTGAATGGCTCTTTGGAACAGAAGAAGGACGAAAGCAACTTGCTGCAAGTGCAGGATTCTGGCGCCTGGTAGTTGTGAGCTTGCACAGAGATCAGCAGTATGAAGATATGTCGGCTATCCAGGCAGAACTATCAGAAAAGGTGATGGAACTGGCCCCAGCTGGTCTCTCAGCCCAGGTAAGCTAGTCTTGTGGTGTGTCCTTGCTGTGCCCTGCAGAGCAGGACACCAGAGCTGTTTTTTTGTCTTTATTTAGTCTCAGATTTTATATGCTATCTACTATTTTGTATTTTCCACATAAACCTAAAGGTTCACATATGGGATTTGCTTTGAAAAAGGGTTTTGTGCTTTTTTGTAAAATTCTGTTTCAAGCACCTGAGGCAAGTAGATAAAGAGTTAGGGTATTTTTTACAAGGTTTGACATTGCTTTTTCTATGATGAAGGCCCAGAGCTCGGTGGTGATCTTAGCATGCAAAAGGCATCAGGTTCAGTCCTCACCATCTCAAGGGGCAGGGTTGGTAGAGATCTTCCAGAGAGTACATCCCAGTTCAATCAACAGATTGTATAGTAGGCTGTGTGAGCCAATTATCTACCTAGCTATAAAATCACTTTATACATTGGTGTACTCATTGTGTTTTGTCACCATGCTTTTTGCTGGTGATGCCTATGAGGCAGTGGCAGCCTGAGCTTGCCTTCTCCTACAGGTACCCTTTCTGTCAGTGGGTGGAGACATTGGGATCCGCACCATCCAACATCGGGATACTAGCCCTCTTAGTGGAGAGTATGTCATTGAGGATGTGAAAGGAGAAGATGCCTGCTATTTCCGCCGCCTCATCTTTCTCAGCAACAGGAATGTGGTGCAATCAGAAGCAAGGCTTTTATCCAACGCATCCCATAAAGGTGAAATGAGGAGTGTGGCAACGATAGAATGTAGAAGTGGATTCACAACAAGAGAATTCATTGAGCAGCTCCAAGCTACTGTCCTGCTCAATGAAGGCTGCCAGCAGGGGGAGGAGAAGTTAAATTGCAGAGAATGTAAAAGTATGGAAACTTAAGAGAGCATCAAATCGTGGCATTCAGGTGGTCTTCCAAGTATTACTTCAATAGTTGCTGTATGTGAAGGCTTTGGAAAATGAAGGGAGTCTATTTGACCTTCCAGGATCCCATACAGTGGTGCCTCGCATTAGGACGTTAATTCGTTCCAGCGAAATCACTGTAGAATGAAAACGTAATGCGAAAATAAAAATCCCATTGAAACGCATTGAAACCCCTTCAATGCGTTCCAGGGGTCTGGAAACTCACCATCCAGTGAAGATCCTCCATAGGGCGGCCAATTTTGGGTGGCTGTCTTGTGAGGAATCTGTCCCAGAAAACAGCGGGAAGCCATTTTATTTACCCGGCAGCCATTTTGAAACCGCCGATCAGCTGTCCGAAAACCATTGTTTTGCGAAGAATCGGTTCCCGAAGCAGGGAACCAATCATCGTAAAATGAAAAAACCCTATTCAGACCATCATTTTGCAATCGCAAAAATGTCGTTGTAATGCAGGGCAATCGTAAAGTGGGGCATGACTGTACTCAAAGTTATGGTACCAAGAAGATCTGGAGGTTTAACTAGTAAACTAAGATCATGTCTGGAAACCTTTGAAAATACCCATGTCACCCTAGCTGTTGCCCCACTGTGTACCAGATTTACATGAATGCAGTTGTCTTCTTTCTGTCACAAGGACAGTACTTGTCAGATCCTTCATATCGCCAAGGACATTTCTCTGGTATTTGCCAAGTACTGTACATAACAGTGAGGGAAAAGAAAATTTCTGGTTTAATGGGTCTGAATAGAAACAAACTCTTAATATCCAAAATGAAAGCAGGATTGCAAGGTGATCTGCTTGGCGGCCTTTGGAAATCAAGTTGGTCAACCCTAACTATTCATTGTGCGTTAAGGCCCACAAAGAGATTCTGCTTGCTTGTAATGGAAGTGGCTTCTTCTCTCATTGAACATTGATAACAGGTTGCTCTGATCAAACTTTTAAAAAATGGCTCTAGAGAAGGAAGAAGAGAAACTATGTTAGAGTACTGGATTAGCAGGGCACTGCTTTTTCCTTGGTGCCTTGAAGCCATTTTGAGGAGAGAGGCAAACTGACATTATAGAGTAATCCTCATGGGAGACAAATGATTTCAGTGATTATATTGCTTGCATTAGATTCTTTTGCATGGCAGGGTGTTTGAACAAGTGTATATAAAACTTGCCATTGTCTACTCTAGGGAATAAAAAGTGCAAGAAGAAGAAGAAAACAGTTTCCAGGGACCACCTTGTAAAGCCTACTGCTGCACCAGACCGTTCCTCTATTGACAAAAGCTACCTGTGTTGTGCGCATCACAGAGCCATGGTTGCAGGACTGTCCTTGCTGAAAAATCCGGAAGGCCTCTCAGGTAGGTTGCAAGGCTGGTTCCACTTCTCTTCTGATATAGCTCCCTGAGTGAGAGGCAGCTGTCGGTCCTATCCTACGCCAGAGCTAAAGTATAGGGCCAGCCCACTGTGCTTGAGAGAATTCTGCTGCTTTAGTTTTAGAACTGGCCCTGAATTGATCGGTAGCTAATAAACTGCATAAATTTACCCTTTCCATTTTTATCATGCATTTGTGAATACAATAAGGGTTCATTGGCACCAGACCTCTGATGTGGCATAGCTTTTCATTAGCTAGAGTCCAGTTGGTAAGGTCAAAGTGGGTGCTCCTGATAAGTATCCATGGTGGTCAGGGAGATCTAAATTGAGGGGGCCAAAAGCTTGTGTACTGGAAGGGAAATCAGTTAACCTTTGGCCTTCTAGGTGTTTTGGCACAGAATTCTCACCAGTCCCGCCCCACATGGTCACTGGTAAGTGATTGTGGGCATTGCATGCCAAAGGATTGGTTAGGTCAAAGATTCCCTGTGCCTTCCATGGTGGATTGTCTTTTTGATATTGTCCCAGCTGGGGAGCTGTCCAGATTCTGTGGCTGGCCCAGACAGATTTTGGACTTATGACTGCATTTTCCAGGAGACAGATAAGTGTCAAAAGCATGTTTTCAGTGACATTGCCAGTTTGCTCAAAATACAAAGCATGGCATCCAACATTTGTTGGAATGATGTCAGTCTATGGAGTGGCTTGGATGGTGTTTACTACACAAGGTGGGTTTTTTTTTAACCTTTCCTGCCTAGTTATGGTCTCCCTACAGGGCTCTGTTTGGGAAGAATGAATAAATGGCCGTTGGGTGGCAGCTGGACTTTAACATCTGTTATTTTCTTGCTCTGTGGTGTATTCCCAACAGCTAGCATTCTCAAAATCTCCTGACTGAGATCTCTTTGGCACGACTACTGTCATTTGCAGCACTTTCTGGCCCCTAGATATTTTTTGGCATTTGGTTTAACTGCAGGTTCAGAATATAACATTGAAGAATATTAGCATCCAAGGATTTCCCTTCATATTAAAAATAAAATGTTCACTGAATTGGGGTCTTTTTGTCATGTCATTTGGAGGGAGAGGTGATGGAAATTCCCAGTTGACACTGTTCGTAGAGGCATAGGACATTTGGGACCTGCATGTATGGAAGCCTTTGGTTGGTGCTGAAAGGGCTGTTCCAAAAGGTTTATATGTCATTTGTTTTGGCAGGTGTGTCCTGCTAGCTTCCTCTTTTGATTCATGATTCCTAACTGCTGTGTGTGTTGATTACAGAAGCCTCAATCCGTGTGCTAGTGATTGGCCTAGGTGGAGGCAGCCTGCCCCTCTTCATCCATGACTACTTCTTGCAGTGCTTCATCGATGTGGTAGAGATCGACCCAGTTATGCTGGAAGTTGCTGCACGCTGGTTTGACTTTTTGCCAGAAGACAGACTCAAAGTCCACATTGCAGATGGTTTAGCTTATGTGGCCAGCCTTGGAGCAGAAGGTAACAACTTCTCAAGCCCAGCCATGCTGAAATCAGGCCTTAGCAAAGAGTTCCTCCTTGACTGCTGCAAAGACTGATTTGGAGTCTCATTTGAATCAGTATTATCTGGTTAATTTTCTAGAAGAAATCTTACAAGAATCAGCTGCTCTTGATCTTTTGTATTGATCAGAAGAGTAGACAGAGGGAGCTGAAGACCAAGAGGGACTGATTTTAAACAATGAAATGGTTTAGTGGGCAAGGTTAAAAAAAAGCCTCTCATGCACTTTCAGCTGCTACAAAAAGAAATGCATTGTTCTACCCTATAAAGAAATTAAACCTAGTTTTTTGTTTCATTGCAAGCAACAAAGCATGAAGCTTCTGCTGTTTTCAAGTACTATTTATATGTAGACCTAACAAAACAGTTCTTGGTGCTGCGTAAATTGTAGTTCTCCAAAATGTGCATGGTAGTTTTAAAACAAAGCCCTGGCATTTATAATATTTAAGTGCAACAGAATTCCTTTGTATACATGGTGATGAGTATAAACTTAATAGTAGAGTTGAGAATTATCAATTACAGTTCATGACATTTTTATGGGTGGACCTGTTCTGCATGCCGAGCTCTGCAGTGTTTGCACATTCCATTATGGTTTCCAGTTTACCTTGATTCATACTTCTCATGTTCCATGTTCCAAGGTTTACTTAAAATATTTTTGCCCCATTTTTCTCCTTAAAAAGGATCAAAGGTGGCTTACATCATTAAAAGACCATATTTAAAGCTAAAAACAGTAAGTATACAGATACTAGAAAGGGTCAAATACCACACTACAAGTCCATAAACAGAAACAACACCTCAAAACACATTCAAAGCAGTAAGGCACAACAATTAATTTAAAATTGTTTGGGAGCCAGACACTCAGGGAAAGCTTGCCTAAAGAGAATGGTCTTTGCCTGCTTGCAGGACAGCAAAGATGGGGCCAACCTGGCCTCCTATGGAAAGGAGTACCAAAGTCTGGGAGCACCAATAGACCCTCTCCCATGTCCCCATAAAATGCACCTGTGACGGTGGTGGGATCAAGAGAACAAGCTCTCTTGATTATCTTAATACCAAAGCAGGCTTATAAAGGGAGATGTTGTCCTGTGTATGTTATGTAGCTTCAAACTCTTTTCACATCACTTCAGCCACTAGATGTCCTTTCGGCTTTAATCTAGTCACATCATTGGTGACAGAGCTATTAGTATTTGTTCTTTGCTCTTCCCCAGTAGCTGATTGAGTACTTTCTGACCTGGGAGTCTCAGCTTCCAGCACTATCTTTTACTTCAGTTCGGACTGTCTCATCATAGGGTTTTCATGGTAAGGAAAGTTGAGCAGGAGTTTACCATTGCCACCTACTGTGCAGTACTAACAAAAGTTAGCATGAATGTCAGAATTCTATTGGCTATTTATGACTGCATAAGAAAAATCATGTAAGTCACAGCAACAAAGCACTGCTCATTAACAAGCCGATGATTACAGTTCCTGGATGTGTGCCTAGAAACCCAGGTAGCACCTTGTTAATGAATGGTAGCTATCCACTGTGACTTATACTGTATTCCTGAGGCAAGTGTAAATTGCTGAAAGAATTATTGTTGGTGCAGTTAGGAAGTTAATTTAATGTAGAAAAGAGGCAACTGCTTCTCTGCCAATGCTTTCTCTCAGCGATACTCCAAGACTAGATAAAAAAGTCATTTTTTAAAAAGTGACTGCTATATGAAGGAACAGAGAGTAATCTGAAAGGCTTTAGAGTAAGGGGAGTTGAGTAGTCTCCCATGCAACTTCCCCATGGACTAGCATTCCAAAACACACTTGTCTGCCGGGAGCAGTTCTGGTATTGAACTAGGTAGGTGGCAGTGAGAGAATTCAGACAGCGGGTTTTGCCCGTACATTTTATATAAAAAATCCCCCACTTCATGTCTAGTTTGGCTCTTGGTCTTCCTTCTCATGAAGTATTGAGTTCAGGCCACCTGCCACTGGCAGGTGTATTTGGTCAGAAGAACTCCCATTTCCAAAGAGCCATAAACTGAAAATGCTCAGCTTTTCTCATTTTAAAAAAATAACCAATAAAGAGAACAGAGCTCTGTGTCTATTATTGGGCTTAGTTTGGTAAGACAATCTTCCTTAATTCAAACACTATTTGGAGTTTGGGTGTTCATAATTGCATCTCTTTTCTTGTACTGATCTGGCCTACATATTGGAAAAATTGAGACCTTGTGATAGATAGTAGGCATGTATGCTGGTAAAAAAAAAGAAGAATAATAGCTCTGCTTCTGTAAGATGTGTGTCTCAGGTACCTCTGGCTCCTAGTTGTGTCTTGCAGTGGTGTTTGAGTGATGTGATGGTTTATGAAAGAACATTAATGGAAGAAGATACTTAAGTGGATGAGTTCCTCCTGAGAATGTCTGTTTTGCCGAAATGTGCAGTGTAATAAAAAGCAAAATTACTTTTTAAGCCTCCTTGGGAGTGAGCAGTGAAGTTATTTTTCCCAAATATTTGATAGTTTGATGTATCTGTTTAAGATTTGAGGAAGATATGATGATGTTTGCAAACATTCTATTAAAGACAGAGTGAGACAGACACACTATAGTTTAACTTGGGTTGATTTCGATATACCTATCTATATTACTCAACCTAGCATTTATAGATCTCATGAGAACATATGCCTGTTTTTCTCTTCTCTCTCCACCTAGGTTCATGCTTGTATGACGCCATCATGTTTGATGTGGACAGCAAAAACTCTGCCGTGGGAATGAGCTGCCCACCACCAGCCTTTGTGGAGAAGCCCTTTCTTCAGAAAGTGAAGGCCCTTCAGAAAACAGATGGTAAGTGTTCATCTGCCAGATAGAGACAAAGGCCTGTGTTCCTCAAGGCTTCTTCTGTTCCTTATTTACTGACTCTTTATTGATGTCAGTCTATTGGATTTGAACGGTTCTAAGTATTTGCAATAGTAGCTTGTTTCTGGCCCTCCTGGTTACTGAAACAGAGAAAGTAAGGAGAGGTCTTGTAAAAGGTTTTGAAATTGCAAAGGGTTATAGTTGGTAGACTCAGTGGAAAGGAAGCACTTGTTATTCAGTTTCACTAATGTTTTGATATGTAAGAACCCAAGTAATTTGCATCTTTCCTGTTCACAGGTGTTTTTATACTCAACTTGGTGTGCCGAGACTCTGTGCTTCGAGATGTTGTCTTGGCTAATCTTAGAGAGATTTTTCCATTGCTTTATGTCCATAAAATTGAAGGGGAGGTAAATGAGATCCTCTTTTGCCAGCAGCAGACCAATCACAGACTATCTCCAGTGGAGCTCCAAGAGAAAGCTAAAATTCTACAGAAGGCATTGCGGCAACCTGGTCATGCATGGGACAGCACTTATTCCTTGGCAGACATACTGGCAGCAGTAAAACTGGTGTGAGGAAGGAGTCTTCCAGTTTCATATACAGTGGTGCCTCGCATAACATTCCTTGGCAGACATACTGGCAGCAGTAAAACTGGTGTGAGGAAGGAATCATATAACATCTATTCTTCTGGACAGAGACAGGGGTCCTTTTCTTGTCTAAGAATAATTGTATCCCTCAAACGTTCCCTCTCATTTTCAGCCCTTCTGAGTGCAACTCCACCCCCCCGCATGTGACTCCACTCCCCCCTGACTCCACTCCCACATGGGGTTCAGTTGCGACTGGAACCATAGGGGCTGGAAATGCTCGCTGTGGGTGCATGGAGGAGGAGGAATGCTGCACAGGTGGGAGGGCAGAGTTGTGCATGCTTGCACACTCATGCACCTTAAAGGGAACCTTGTGTCCATCAGTTCCACATTTACATATGTTGTAATGTGTAAGAACTGACCTTCATGTCAGATTGCTGGAAGAAGATGAAATATGTACACTCACTGTAAAGGGAATACAGGAGGCCCCTTGGTAAAGAGACTGGGGATTATGAAAAATACTGCCAGGAAAAAGTGGTATGAAACACTGCATAGAAACAACTCCTAGCTTAATTGGGCTCAGCAGAAAATTGCTCTGATAGTGCTGAACCTCTTCATCATTGTAGTCACTGATGAGGGACTGAATATCTGTGTGCAATAAAATGGCCTCCTCTGTTTTGTATCTTGTGATAAGTGGTGAAACAGTCATTAAAGTTTTCTACCATTTAAAAATTGCAAAGTAGACCCTTGGCATTCATGTATAAAATGGAACAATTGACCTGTGAGGTAGGCCATAGTTTTTATTTTATTTTTTAAAAACCCAATTGAAACTCCTTTTAAGAGTATATAAAGGTGGTATGCATACAAAGATATTGTATTTTGTTCCTGTGACATCCTCTTCCAGCACAGAATAAATCCACTTTTGGCACTTATTAAGATTCCCCAAGGCAAAAGGGATCCCTAGAGATCCTCAGGATCTGAAACAGGGGAGGATAGGAAGTTTTGAGGTAAAGATTAACATTACTAGTGGATGATGTCATCACTATTTATACCTGATGTAACTCCGCCAACTGGATTTCAGCTGATGAAGTGTCATGAAAGGCCTGTCAGTTGTTGTGTTAGGAAGGGGGAAGCTAAATATATCCGTTTCAACCATTTTACAATTGTTACAGTAAGGACAGGACAGAGATGTGTTTGACAGTGTATTAACAAGGTGGGTCCTGTCCTGTAAACACTCCTAAATGTGCGGATATTAAAATGTTTCTCAGGGGAATGTTCCTTGAAGTACTTCCCACAACACAGATGTTTCTGTTGCAGAATACAGGCACTCCTCACTTAACTACTGATCTCTGTTCTTGTGACTAGGTCGTTAAGCAAACCGGTTGTTAAGCAAAGAGCAATAATAGTGTATAAGGGAGTAATAAATCACATGCTGTTGAGAAGCATGGCGAAGATACAAGCACAGATTCTTTTATGTGCAGCCAGGAGAGAGATTCAGGAGGGTTATGGCTGTGTTGGCTGAATACTAGGATGCTGGGAGGGGGGAGAAGAATTGGAAGTGTCCCCTAACATGGTTCAGGAGGACCCAGAGACGGAGTATGTGTCAGTGTGAATGTACCAGGTACTGTGTGCAAAAGCCAGGTAGAACTTCCCTGACTCTCAGCTAAGTATCCTCTGCGGATTCTCCATACTCAAATTTCAGACTACTACATTTCTGAAAAGCTTTTCTATATAAATAGGAAAATTTTGTGAAAAAGGTACTTCATAGTCTCGGAATATAGAACATCAAATGTCTGAACAGGAATTTTGCAAAATACATCATGATTCCATTTAGAATCACCCTCTTTCTGCTACTCATCCATTACTCCTTTCCCTTATTTTCAGGTAACGCGTGCAGGAATTACTGATCTCTGGTGATATAAACTAAACTATATGGCACCAGTAACAGATGAGTGGTTGGAAGGAGGTGATCCTGAATCGAATCATTCTGTTGTGAATCCTATGTTTTGCAAAATTACTGTTCAGATATTTGATGTTCTGTATTCTGAGACTATGATGTGATGGCGCTGTGGGCTAAACCGCAGAAGCCTGTGCTGCAGGGTCAGAAGACTAGCAGTGGTAAGATTGAATCCACGCGACAGAGTGAGCTCCTGTTGCTTTGTCCCAGCTCCTCGTCAGCCTAGCAGTTCGAAAGCATGCAAATGCGAGTAAATAGGTACCACCTCAGTGGGAAGGTAAAACAGCGTTCCCTAGTCACGCTGGCCACGTGGCAACAGAAACTGTCTTTGGACAAGCGCCGGCTCTATGGCTTGAAAACGCGATAGAGTCAGACACGACTGGACTAAAAATGTCAAGGGGAACCTTTACCTTTACCTATTCTGAGACTATAAAGAACATTTTCCACATTATTTGTTTCTAACGTTTTCCAGAAATGTAGAAACTAAATGAAAAGGCAGCTTCACAGCAAACCATACTCACAATGCTTTGCTTTTGCATGGCCTCTTCCCACACATCATGCCCACCCGGATGGGAAGCAGTTTTTTAAAAAAGACAGACTTGTGAGAGGAGAGGCACTGTGGAAAGAGGTGAGTGCTGTTGCTATGGTCACACCCCTGTCTTTACAAGAACATCTGCAGGGGGAAAAGACCAACAGAATCCTTCCAACATGGAAAAAAAAAACCTGAAGCCTTCTAAGAGGCAGAGAAAAAAGCTGGTTTGTCAGTAAAAAGCCTGGACCAATTCAAATCAGCCCTATATGTCATGCAGAGAGTTTAAAAAAATTTCAAATTCACTCATTTTATAACAAGCAAATCCTGTGGTATTTGACCATGTAGTTCCCTATTGACTGGAACCTTAGGTTTTTCCTGTCCAGAAGAGGGTGTCTGGGGTTCAAAGACTAATTGATTTTAACCTGCCTCTCAAGGACAGTCCATGCTAGGAATATCCTTCTTCCCTTGTTTGTATAAAAGGAATGTGTTATAGTAAGTTAAGTTCAAATGTTACTGTGGTGATCTCTGAAGTGCCTATCCCCCCAGGCCTTCACGAGGTTCTCGCTCTTCTTCGCTGCCACCATATATTAATGCTTTAATATCAATTGATCTTGGAAACAAGTGTGCTGTTTAAACTTTAAGGCTTTTATTAGATCAGGGAAGTTATTAGGTGATAAATATTCATTAGCTCAATCACAGGTTGTCAGTCACTTATATTTGAATCTAATCAGGTACATTTACAACACTCTCTTAACTCTCTGCTCCAATCTACGTTCTTACAGATCTCTATCTCACTTTCCAGACACTTTCAAGTTACACACAGTCTCTCACTCACAGAATCTCTCTCGGACTTCATACACCAGTCTTTATATCCATCTCCCTTCCCCCTTGGCTCCGCCTTCCGTCCACTCATAGGCTCCTTCGTCACTGTTCTGCTGTGACGGACAGGTGAGGGCAGGGCTGTTCGCTACACTTACTTTTTACTACAGAGACTTGAGTCCAAATCCCTCTTTGGTCAGGATCCTTTTTGGCTGACCTTGAGAAACTCGTCCCAATGGAAGTCTTATTTGTGAGACTGGTACAAGATAATCCCATGTATACTCAATTAAGGTCTTGTGAGGACACAACCAAAACATGCTAAATCACTGGTTCTTAACCTCTTTGAAAGAAACACCCCCTTGAGCCATTGAGGAAGTTATCATTGCCCCCCTCCACGCAGCAGCGGCCGCCACCGCACCATCACTGCACCACCGCTGCGGGGAGGGGGTAATGATAACTTTCTCAGGTCTCACTTCTTTCCACCTTTGTCCAGCCACCGCCACACACAAGACACTAAGCGGCGGCTTCCGCTTGCTTTTGGGGCAACCCTGTAGCCGCCAGGACCTGAGGGGGGAAACAGCCAGCGCTTAGGCCGCAGCGGTGGAGAGAGGGGTGGTGGTGGGCAGGACGGTGGCTCTCCTTCTTGGGGTTTGGCTTTCCCTGGGCAGTGCCGTCAGGAGGGGAGAGACACACAAGCGAACCGTGGGTGGCTGCCTTCCCTGCCCACCCAGGCCCCAGGGGCTTCAGCCCCACCTCAGGATGGGGAGCCCACCATGACTAAGCAAAGGCCAGGCATGGGCCAAGAAAGGAAGAAGGTTACATACAACTGGTGGCTATACAAACCTACCTTCAGGAAATGTACCCTGCAGTTTGTACCATCACCAAATGACAGGTTTGTGTTTCCAAGAAAGAGATACCTGTCGTAGCACCAGCAGATTGTGTTCTTCAATGGACAACTGCTGGACTTCAGGGCAAGGTCTCTCACATGCACTCAGTGGACAGTTAGATGGGGCCCTAGGATATTGTGACTTTTAATCCTGAAGTGAGTTAATCACTGCACGAGTAATCAATGCTTGCAGAGTTCAATCCTAGAATGAAAAAGCGATTGAAGTGAATTTCTCTGACATGCACAGATCCTTGAATGCCATTTGTGTCCATGCTTTCCAACCCTAGGTTCTTGTACTGCTTGACAAAAGGTGTCAGAGAAGTTATTCTTCGCAGACCAAGATAAGACCCTGCTTGCATCTTGTATAGGGAAAGGCTGAGCAGGGATGTCTGTCTTAGAATCTAGCTAAAACTTTACTGGAATCTGATCAGAAAAAAAGCAGAAGATAAAAATAGTTATAACTAACAAATGTATAAATTCTCAAAATGGCTCACTATACAGTAGTCCTAACCTCCCTTTGGCATATTGGATATATTTTGTGGGTTAACTGAAAAGAACTGGAAGGATTTCATAACCTACCAGTTATGAAATACTAAACATAAAATATTAACACACAGGAATAGAATCTTTGCTGAAGATGCTGTTGGCTAGCATCCTGACTATTTTGTTTGTGGCAAAACAAACACAGCTTTTTCTTCCTCCAAGGAATGAATATTGGGTAACCCCACCCAAGACTGTGAGATCAGTGCTTTAGGTCATTCTGACTCAGTATTTCACCCACACACTATTTTTCCCAAGTGTGGTAATGTTGGTAACGGCCAGTAAGATGCAGACTGAAGATTAGAACTGCTGCCTAATGCAAGGTGAAGCACAGTTAGCATTGTTTGTCTGTGTGTAGAACATGGTATAATCTGCTAATGTTGCATTCCTGAAATTTTTTTTGTTTTATATGTAGAAAAACTCTATTTCTACACCTATTTCTGTTTGGTAAAAACCACACAAGGACCACTTACTGAATGTTCTAAGTGCATGTCTTGCACCTTTGGTGCACTGGAGAGATCCTTGTAACCTCCGAGTTAGAACAATAATGTTTGCCTCAGAATATTTATTTATTTAAAATATGTTTACCCTGCCTTTCTCCTTGAAAAAGACCCAAGGCGGCTTTCAACAATGAAAGACAATATTTAAAAATGAAAACAATGAGTATACAACTGTGATTAACATAATTAAAAGACAATATTTTAAAAATATGAACAATAAGTAAGGAGGCATCTTATATCAATTAACAGGCACTATTAAGACGAAGTTCAATAAGAATACAATTTTTAAAAAAATGTCATTCTGAGAAATGGAAATACAAAAATGGAAAACACAAGTAGTACTAAAAATTCAGTTAAAGCAGCAATGTGCAACAATCTATATAAAAATCATACACAGGTTTACTGAGGGAAGGCTTGCCTGAAGATAAAGGTCTTTGCCTGCTTGCAGAAGGATAGCAAAGATGGGGCCAGTCTGGCCTCCTGTGGAGGGAGTTCCCAAATCTGGGAGCAGCAAAAGAAAAGGCCCTTTCTTGTGTCCCCACCTGTGAAGGTAGTGGGACTGAGAGAAAGGCCTCTCCTGATGATCTTAACATCCAAGCCAGCTCATAACGGGATATGTAGTCTTTGAGATATC